CCTCGTCTCAGGGCTGACCTGGCATCTCCATGTCCAGGCGGCACGAGGGGCGCTCTGGGGACCTGTGATGCACCCGCCACCTCCCCACACTCCGGCTGCAAGTCCTGTCTGCACATCTCAGCCTGGTTCATCTTCCCGGACTGGGTCTCCTCGGAGGTAGAACAGGTACAGTACTGGTTCCTACCACTTGGGGCTCCAAGGAGGGTTGCTCCAGGACATGGGCATAAAGGTGAGACTTTACATCCATGAGGAAACTCTGATTTTATCACCAAAACTTCATGGAGCAGCAGCCACAACCGTCAGAGCCGGGAACGTGGGAGTGAAACATAGAGCGGTCGCAAGCCCACAGGAAGGCGGTCAGCAGGTGGGGCCGGAGGACCCTTCTATGCAGCCAGACCACCTTGAGGAAGCCAGGTGAGCTCTGGGGACGGTGGCGAGGAGAAGCGCTACGAGAACTGCCCACAAGGAGCACTGGAGATGTGTGCGTGGGCACCGTGGAGGCCAGACAAGGTGTGGGAGGAGCAGGCTGGGCCCCAGGACACCAGGGCTGCCAGGCCCAGTGGAGAATTGCAGAATTGTGATGCTTTCCAAGAATATAGAGCTGGGTGTTGGTGCATGCCTATAATTCCAGCACTCTGGGAGGCTGAAGTAGGAGGATTTCAAGTTTGATCCTATCCTGGGTAATCTGGAAATTTAGAAAGAGCCAGTCTCAAAAAAAGGGGGGTGGATAGGGGCTAGGAATGCACTCATGTGAAAGTCCTGAGTTCTGTCCCCAGAACTGCAAAAATAAAATAAAATTAAAAAGCATACAGATGTTGAAGCATCACAGATTTTATCACCAGGGTGCACAGTCCTTCTCTGCGGTGAGATGCAAGTCTGCCTAGAGACAGGGCCAGGCTCGATGGGCTCTGGAGGCACACAGGCCGGGGCTCTGCAAGCCACGCCCCCACGCGGTGGGCAGAGACCAGCAGAGGGTGAGGAGCCTAGCTTCCCACACTCAACAGAGAGTGTGCCTCTGCCTAGCCTGGAGCTGACCCGGCACGGCAGGCTGGGCACCGGGGCTTCTGGACACACTGTGAGTATGAGTGGGCCTTCCCGCCACCGAGGGTTGGTGCACACTGGAGACCACTGCTGGGTCGCACACTTGTCACGAGCCGACCACTTAGCAGAGCCACCAGCCCTGGAAGGACTCTGCTTCTCCTTCCAAGATGAGGCTCCTAGGGTGGCAAACAGAATAAAGCCAGTGACTCTTCTGTCCAAAGTTAGTGCTGGCTGAGGCCACACTCCTGTGAGCCTGTCTGCCAGCAGCTGCCGCCTGGGGACCACGAAAAATGGCAACCAACTCCCAACCCGAGAGGACCAAGGGACGGGGGAGGACGGCTGTGTGGGACAGCGTGGGGCTCATGGTTATGGTGACAACAGGGCCCGAGGCTGTGCTGTTGTCTCCGTTACTCTGTCCCTAGTTTACGTCTCTGTCTGCATTTGGATCCCTGGACAAAGACAAAGAAGACTTGGAGAACTGTTTTCCATGCTACCTGCTAGTTGAAGATAGCCTGGAAAGCTATTTTAGGGACTGCACAATTTGAGAAGTGAATCTAGGCTCTGAAAATTGCTTACACAGGGTCTGCTGTCTATTGCAAAACCTTGGCAGAGACCACATGAGGTGTTAATGCATTCTGGACAGTGCAATAAGACAAGAAAAAGAAATGCAAAGACTCTAAAGCAGGACGTAAAGTCATCATGCCTTGTAGATACGTGATTTCACACAAAGAGAATACAACAGAATCTATGGCGATACTGAAAATTAATGGTTAAATCACCAACCGCACAAAGTCTGAACAATTGGACTGCATTAAAATGTAAGCATCAGCTTATCAAAGGACATCACGGAGAGAGAAAAGGCCAGCTACAGCGGGGACGAGGGCGTGACACACACAGGGTCACCCTGAAGGGGGCCCTGCTGAGCTGGTGGGGACCCGAGGGGGAGTGGGACACTGCCCCTGACTGGAGATGGCAGAGAACAGCCAGGCAGCAGCAGGCACACAGAGGCAGGGTGACAGGATTTGAGACACCTCTGTCGGCACCTTTGGATTAGCTTTTCGGATCCTGCCCCAGCCGTCCTCCGCCTTGGTTTTGGGAACTCGGCTCTTGGCTGTGGCTGATGTGTCTGGGATCCTTAGGGGGACGGTGGGTGCATCCCCATCACCCCCACCGTTTGGGGGCCCATGGAGCCAGGACTCTGGGGCTCCAGGTTTGGGACCACGGTTCAATCCCCTGATTTGAGGACTTGATCCCTCTGGAGGTGAGCAGGAGAGTGAGATGCTACAACAGGCACACCTGCGGAGCACACCTGTGGGCCGGGCCGGGCAGGTGTGGGGTCATCCCCTCACAGGGCCTGGCCCTGTCGCCACGTTCTGACAGAGGCACTGCCACCCAGCATTCCTGGTGCAGTCCAGGTCCAGCATAAAATGTTCAGACTGTTCAACTGGAGGGTGGACATACCATTAAAATCTTTTTAGAAGAAAATAATATCAGTGAATTTCCTTTACCAAAAAAAAAAAAAAGAACCAAAAAACCCAGCTTCATGGAAAGAAAAAAATGACCACTGCACCCAGGAGTCTGGACCCCCGGGGTTGATTCAAGCAGCATTTCCAGAGCAGTGATCTCAGGCAGAGGTCGGGACCAAGAGACACACCCGGGAGGAATGCGGCGGGGCAGCTCCAGCAGCCCAGTGCCCACGACCAAACTCTTCAGAGAGGAGCCAGTCAGCCAAAATAGGTCAGAACAGGCCACCCCGCAGCCACTTGCTGGCGGAAAGTGCTTTAATCGCTGTTTTGGAAGCTAACCGCACTCAGTAAGAAACATCTAGCGGGAGGTCCTCAACTGAGGGAAGAAAGGCCAAGTCCTCCCGCAGTGGGTGCCACCCGGGAAGGCCCAGCCACGGTGCCACCCCCTCCCACACGATGGCAGCCCTGACGGGTGGTGGACAGCCTGGCCGGACACTTGGGCCGATGAGCTGTGCGTGTGGCTTTGACCCAGAAGAGAATGCAGAGGCCTGGCCCGAGGAGGTTTGAGGCGCTCCTCGGAGTTGCTGAGATGCCTGTGAACGGTGGCGGCGTTTCAATAGATTTCAGGGGATTTGGCCCAATCAAACTGACATTCTGGCTGGGAAGCACTCTGCCTGGCCGCGGCCCCTCCTGCTGCCTAGCACCCCAGCCTTGCTCCCAGCCGCCACCCACCGCCACCGTGAAGCCACCCAAGGAAAACGCCACGCAGCAGCAGTATCTTTCCACACTGGCCCCGAAAACCTCACCCTTCTGATCGCTGACATGCCAGTTGTCTGCTTAGTGACCGTTATAATACTGAAAATTCTTTTATTTAGCTTGCTCGGGATGAAGTCATGCAGCTATAAGGGTGACTTGCAAAACAAAACCAAGTTCCATTCCCAGTTAAAGGGGCCGCGGCAAGCCTCACTGCCACCCACCACCTGTGCCCGCATTTGAGCAGAGTCAGTGGGGTGTGCGCCGTCATCCCAGCCCTCGGGAGAGCTTAGGCAGGAGAGTCGCATGTCTGAGCCAAGTCTGGGCAATTTAGGGCTGTCTCAAAATAAAAAATAAGGAAGGACGGGGTGTAGCTCAATGAGAAGGTGTTACTACCAAAACCAGAATCCACGGAAATGTAAAAGGCAGAACGTACGGTGCTGGTTTGGTAGCTTGGAGCCACGTATGTATTCAATCTGCCGCCTCCTGTGTTGCCATTTGAAACGCAGGGAGCTGGCGTCCTAGCTGCACTGCTGACGTCTTGTCACTAGCGCCCTACTCAGGATGAGGACGTGCACCTCGACAGGTGCTGGGGGCGCCTGTGCAACCCTCTCCTCTTGCTGGCGCGACGGCCCTGCTGATGCCTCTACCTCTTCACGGCCCCAGGGGCCCCCATCTCCTGCCTCGAATGTCCCTGTACTGTCCGATGTCCATGGCCGCCCTCCACACCTTTCACAGAGCGGCAGCACCACACAGCTGCGTGCCCAGAGCATGTGGGCTTAGAACAGTGTGCTTGGGGTGAACGTTCTGGTTGTGGAGGGCCAGGGTCCTCAGGCCAGCCTGTCAAGCTGGGGCCCCAGTGTGATTGTTCTCTGGCCCCCTTTCTTCTTTTGTAGTGGGGGAGGACACCTCTTCTACCTGAGTCAACTTGAAGGAACCCACATTGAGCAGGGTGTGTGTGACTTTCAGAGGTGCTCTGAGAATGAAAGAGCAACTATGGTGGTGTCTTATGTCATTTTAAATTGACTATATCATCATCATCATCATCATCATCATCATCATCATTATTACCTTCATGACAGGGTCTTGCTGTGTAGCCCAGGCTGGCCTAGAACTTGATTCTCCTGCCTCAGCCTCCCGAGTTCTGGGATTACAGGTCTGTGCCACCACACCTGGCTAACCTTACTATATCTTTCAAAACATTTGGATTTAAAAGCTCTAATGCCCCAAGGATTGAAGGAGTAAGTAACTGGCTTACAGGTCAACACTTCTCTCACTTCTGTTTCCTGCTTGTGTTCTGACTCCTTTGTCCGATTATGGGCGATACATGCCTTGCGTGAACACGTAGCTGCTTCTGTGACCTAGGATGGGACCTCAAAGGAGTATGGTGTTTGTCCCGTCTTGTATTACCCCAGTCTCTATGGGTTTGGACTCAGAGGAACATTCTGTTCAGCATCTCCAAAACAAGCCCTTAAAAACAGTGAATCATGTCCTTCACCCAAAATGATCCAATACATAAAACTATTTAATTAGTGAAATTACGGGAGCGCACTGGTGTGTGACGCTCATGTGGCCGGGGGCTGGTGCCCCCGCTCTGTGGAGCTCTGGCCGTGTGGCTGCCGAAGCCTGCACACCTCTCGCGAGCATCAGAAGCCTGGCCCGGTACAGCTCCTGGAGTTTATATCCACAGGAAGCGTCCTGGTGGGCTGTGCTTGGGGCTGGGTCTCCATCGAGTTAAACATGCTGAGCAGCATGGGAGCCGGACCTGCCCGGGACAGCAATCTCTTCTCCAAGTCCTGTGTTCTACGCCCACGTTTCGTCAAAGCCAGGTCAGAAACAAGGCGCTAAATGCCTCCTGGAGCTGGGTCTCCCATCAGTACGAGGTGACCTAGGGTGCTGCTTCAAAAATGTCAAGCTGGGGTGTGCAGTTTCCCTGATTTTTCTTAATTGTGGGAAGACTTGAGAGAAGTGGAAAAAAAATTCAAATTGGCAAATTCCGAAAAGAAGAGCAGTTTCACTGAATTTTACACAACCCGATATGCCAGCTACTAAGTCTTGACCTCCAGGGCCAAGGATATAGCTCAGTGGCACAGTGCCTGCCTGGCGAGCGTGAGGGCATGGGTTCAATTCCCAGTACCACAAACACAAAACAAAACAAAAGCTCTAGTCTCTAAGTCATGACCTCCAGATGGACGCTTCAAGACAGTCACAGACGGGCCACCCAGGTCGGTGACAGTGACACTGTCCAAATCTGTGAGGTTTGCTTCCCTCAGCAGATAACAAATGTCCCCAGTAAACTTCTCAGGCTATTAACTCAAGACTCCCTGCCTCGAGTTTGCTGGAGACAAAGTCGTACCTACTGATCTGCCCGCACGATCTGTGGCACCTGATCCCAGCCTTCCCGCTCATCCACTTCAAGGACCAACAGTCGCTGCAAGTGCGAACGTGCCGACGCTGCTCCGGAAGTGGAGCGTCAGCAGAGTACTGCCCCACCCGAGGGGGCTTTGCGAACCACCTCGCTCGCGACCAAGAAGCTGTGAGGCTGTTGATGTCCACGACTGCGTTTTACAGGTTGACTCACCCGGGAAGCACAAGCGGGGGTCGAGGGTCACAGGGTGGAGGGTCACGGCGTCAAGGGGTCGTGAGTCACAGCAAGAGAGCTCTGTGCGCGGCCACCTGGGGACTGAACGCTCTGCCGCCACCTCAGAATGAAAGCCTCGCTTAAAACAACACAAGCCAGTGACTTCAGCCTGGCCTTCCTCGCTGCCCGTGCCAGCGCCCCCTCAGTCCCCGCACCGAGGAGACCATGCCAGAGGCATGGGGACGTCGCGGGCCACGCTGAAGCAGTCCCGTGCTCGCACACAGTGACACGGCTGGGCGCAGAGCCATGTGGCTCTCAGACAAAGGTTGGGGTGGGAGGGTGCAGGGTGGTGGGGACGAGGCCGAGTGGTTTCTGATGGGCAGCGGTGTGTGGCTTGGCCAGGTCATGGAGGACCGGGCCAGGGGAGGACGCAGCCAGCAGGGAGTAAGCGGTCCCGGGAAGCAGCCCCGTGGAGCCCCTGAGGACAGGCCGAGGAGCGGCCTGGGACCGGGCAGCGGTTTCCGAGGCTGAGACTGGGCATGTCACATGGTGGACATGGCTGACGCTGCCAGGGCCACCAGGAGTGGGTGACCGTGGCAGAGGGCCAAGGCATGCTCACTGTCCCCACGCTGGTCCCCTGCACCCAGGGTGCTCAGTGCCCCCGAGCGGCCACCCAGGCCCCTGTGAGCTGCAGTGATGTTCGGGCAAGACAGGAGCCTGAACCATGCTACCCACCACCCAGGGACAGACAGCAAGGACCCACCGGCCACAACCCAACAGAGCGAGGGCCACCGGAGAGGCAGCCGAACTGAGGCGGGAAGGGGCAGTGCCAGAGAAAATCCAAGTGATGAGGTCACGGAGGACCAGATGGAAGAGCAAGCGGATGGCAGAGCTGAGCTCACGTTCAGGAGGCGCTGGGGGACAGAGGACGGGCCGGGGCTGGCACCGTGAGAGCGGTTCTTCTGCTCCAGACCTTGCCAGGCGTGGTCTAACAGCATGCAAGCCCTTGGGCCGCGAGTGTGGGAGGATCCCAGATCCAGGAACCAGGGTGGAGTGGAACCATAAGCCCCAAAGCACCTGGGCTTCTCTCAGGGGAGCCACTGGGAGCCCCAGGAGCCAGGCATCCTTGAGGACTGATGACACGGGGCTCGGGGACAGGGTGCATCCGCCCTCGAGTGAGGCCATTTGGCTGACCGGCATGCAGCCGGGCGGCAGTTGCAGGGCGAAGCTCCCCAGTGCCGATGTCCCTGTCCTCCCAGGTGAGGTCCCGCCCTGCGATCTGAGACCTCACCCTCCAGGACGGCTTCCTCAGACGCAGCTGTGGGACTGGCCTAGCCACTTCAGCTTTGCCATCATCTCTAGGATACGATGTCCTCTGGGAATTTTCCAGACATCCAACTGATATGGTGGCCAGAGACGGCCAGTCTGGGACTGATCATCTCTAGGGAAAACAGGGTCCCCTCTTGACAAGGAGCTGCCGTCCAGCAGAGGAGGGGGAGGGGCTGAGCATGCTGAGCTGCTCCTGAGACCCTGGAACCCCACGTTCTATGTCCGGCACGCAAGACTGAGTGGCCATTGTTCTAACTGGTCACTTACACTGTGGAGCTTGCTGGCCACCACCCAGGGGCTTGGTCCACCACCCAGGGGCTTGGTGGGTGAGGCTGGCCCTTCAAGGAGACTCCTTCTGCAGGGATAAGTGTGTTTCACAGGTCCCCCCTCCTCTGACTAACTGCCCAGGGCTTAGGGCTGTACCTGCTCTCTGCGAGATGTGCCCCAGGGACCAGGTCTGCAGAGACAGGAGTCCTCAACCCTCCCAAAGATCTGCAGACGAAATGACCTTCCTTGTGCAGTCCTGGGTTGAACGCAGGGCCTCTGTACTGAGCTCTGTCCCCAGCCCTCTTATTTTTTAGTCTGAGACGCAGTGTTGCCAGTTTGCCCGGGCTAGGCTCGAACTCAGGATCCTTCTGCCTCAGCTTCCTATAGCGTTGGGATGACCGGCCTGTGCCATCATGCCTAGCTGCAACCACGAGTTCCTAATACCCTGCTGTAGGCAGGTGAGCGGGGCTGGTTTCTCCTAAGGGATCAGAAGAGTGGCAGTCTTAGAAGACATCTAGGAAGCCGCCAGCCAAGGGGAACCAGAATCTCCAGCTGAAAGAGCTCTGCTGAGATGCCTTTGGCTTCCTGCCCACCTGGTGTCTCCATGCCAATGCCACCACCATCACAGACAGCATCAGAAAGTAGTGTCAGGCCCTGCCCTAGACCTGCATAACAAACTGCATGTGTGGACATCACAGCTGCCCTGCGCCAGCCCTCTCTCCTTTCTCTGGCCTTCAGCCAGGATGGAGCCCCATGTCCAGTCTGCTTTTTGAGCATGAGGGCAATGAGGCATCACCTCCTCTGCGAGCTCAGACCTCTCTTTTGCTGGGGACGGTAGTGCCTGGGAAGAAGCAGCTTCTCAGAAGGCGCCTTTGTTGGCCGCCTCAGTGCACCGGCCCCGTGATTTGGGGACTCGGGAAGGTGCTGGCCGGGCTACCCCCACCTTGTGCTGCGAGCTGCTGTTTCCACAGGGTCTGGAGCACAAAGGAGGCCCTGGCCAAGCCCCGAGGCTCCAAAGAAAGCCCAGCTTGGCGCAGCCCAGAGGGTGTCACTGGCCGGGCGCCCGCATCTCTTCGGGTCTGGAGCTCAAGGAGAAAAACATGCTCTAGGAGCTGGAATAGTTTGGCTCCCCGTCTTGCAGCGGAAGCACATTTTGCATCCGTGTGACTGCAGATGAGCCGCATCTGTCCACCGCGCTGCTCAAGTCAAGCGGAACTGGCAGGGGAGCGGCCTCCACCGGCTTAGGTGCTTTGTGAGGCCTGAGCTGGTCCTGGCGTGGAGCACACGCGTTTGTGCTGCGACTCTGAGCACAGCCTGAGCCTGGCCAAGGCTCCGCTGGCCCCCCCACCCCGGTGGTCACCACCGTCCAGCAGGTGACCGGCCCGGCATCCGGTGGACATGGGATGGCTGGGTGAGCTCCTGTCCTGCCTGAGGGGCCCTGGGGCCTGGCTCACGTCTTCCCTCGGTTGCCCCCAGCATGGGCAGCGCCCAGGGGTACAGTTCTGAGCCGCCCCTGCCTCGAAGCCACCCTGAGGCCTCCTCTGGCCAGGAGAGCACCCCAGGTTGCCCCGCAGCCTCTCCAACCTCAGCCCCTCCCGGCCAGGCCTCACAGCTGCGGCGGAACGAGTCCTGCTGGACACTGGCTTAGAAGCAAGACAGCATAAGGCAGGCCCACCCAAGGAAGGTCCTGGGGCCACCTCCAGCGGCGGCTGCCCTTGGGGGCTCCTCTCCTCAGCATCATGTGGTCTCCTACTGGGAGAGGCCTGCAGCAGAGCCCAGGCAAGGATGGCCTCCAGAGTCCTTTCACAAGCCCCCAACTCTGAAAAATGTCATCTCTCCCTGCCAGCAGACTCCCACTGGACCCATGGGCCCCTTAGGCCAGCTGCAGGTTTGTGCAGCCTCTTAGCCAAAGGCAGAACTGAATCTAAAAATACAAAATTCAGACAGTATAGGAATATTATACAGCCTTTTAAAAGGAAGGAAAAGAAAAGAAGCTCAACAAGGACTATGCCAGGGCTGAGCCTTGGAGACGTGGTGCTCAGGGACGTCAGCCGGGCTCAGGAGGACAAAGGCGCTGTGATTCCACTTGTCTGAGTCCCCAGGGGCCAAGCCTATGGGATGAGGAGTAGAGCAGGCCCCTGGGGCTAGCAAAGGTGGGGGTGTTTCACGGGGTGTGGAGCTCTGATGGGGGTGACAGTGAGGTTCTGGGGGAGAGGTGGTGGCGAGGGCCACAGCACAGGGCAGGTGTGCCCAGTGGTCCCAGGCCTGGGCTTAGAGGTGGCCAAGAAGAGAAGGTGCCTGTTGTGTATTTTGGGTTTTTTTTTGAGACAGGGTCTTGCTGTGTAGCCTAGGCTGGCCTTGAACTCATGGTGATGCTCCTGCCCCAGTGCCCAAGGGCTGGATGACAGGTGTGCAGCCCCCCTCCTCCAGCACGTTGTGTATTTTGCAACAATTAAAATGACACAGGGTGTCTGAGAGAACGGAGCGGGCTGGCATGGTAGACACAGACGGGAGGGCTGGGAGCACCGGTGAGATCACCACGGCCCCGAGTGGGCAGTGTGTGAGTCCTGGGACAGCAGTTCACTTTTTACTAATTTTTAACACGTGAAATGCTTGGGAGCAATGAAGATCTAAGGTGTTCTGTCAGGGTGAGGGATCAGGAAGCCTGCTGGTCTGCTGCTTCCTCGACACTCAAGGTCATGAAGCCCAGGGAGGAAGGAGGACCCTGAGGAGGTGGAAGCACTGCCCGGCAAACAGCCCCGGCCCTCGCCCTGTACCCAAAGAGCCAGAGGTGCAGAGGGAAGAGATTTCTTTGAAAGATGCTGCCACTAGGAGAAAGGGCAATTTTAAAAACTGGTAAATTCTATCTAGCTATCAACCCATCTGTCCATCATTCATCTGTCATCCATCCATCCATCCATCATCCATCAGTCATCTACCCATCCATCATTCATCCATCATCCATCCATCCATCCATGCATCACCCATCCATCAGTCATCTACTCATCCATCCATCATCTATCCATCCATCATCCATCTATCAGTCATCTACCCATC